CTGGCTGCGAAGCTGTGAGCAGAAGGGTGTGAGTGGGGTTCACGCCCAAGGCAGTCTGGCTCCAGACCCGCTGTGCTCGACCCCCTCAGTGGCAAAGCTATATGCAGCTCTCGTCAGGAAGCCAGGTCGTTTCATCAAAGAAAAATGCTCTTCCTTTTGGGTGAAGCTCCTTCTGCACACAAGGAGGGAGCATTTAGAAACCCTAAACACTGGAAGAAACTACCTTATGAGTAAGCTGCATATCTGTTAGCTAGTGTAGGGGCAGCAGTTGTACCTCACCCTTGCCTGAAGTCTCTCACAGCTCCCCGAATCTGAAAGATCACTCACTGCATCACTTGTCTCCAGCGCCTGGCCCAGCTGAAAGTTTGCCTAATGGAGTCAACTTTGCTTTATCCCAGGGCAGCTTATTGGGGAAAATCTTGCTTTAGTAGTTAGTAGTCACCTTGCTTGTGACTTACTGGGTTAACATCTTCCGTATTGTCATACACAGTCAGCACGGACTCAATTTACTTACTTGCTTTGTTGACATTGTGCTGTCTACAGGGAAACACTCTGAGATCCACAGCTTCATGTCTTAGTCCTTGTGTGCTGCTATAACAGAATGCGGGAGACCAGGTAATTTATAACGAACTGAAATGTATTGGCTCATAGTTCTGAGGCTGGGAAGTCTAAGACGCAGGGACTGCATGTAGTGAGAGGTTTTGTTTGTTTGTTTTGGGTTTTTTTGTTGTTGTTGTTTTGTTTTGTTTTTTCTCTCAGTACTGAAGATTTAACACAAGGCCTTTGCACTGACAGCCATTTTTGCTTTTTATTTTGAGACAGGGTCTTGCTAAATTGCCCAGTCTGGGCTCAAATTTACAGTCCTCCTGCTTCAGCCTCCCAGAGTATTGGGATTACAGTCTATGCGGCTAGGCACAGCTAGTAAGGGCTTTCTTGTTATGTCATTCCATGGCAAAAGAGCAAAGAGAAAGTAACAGGAAAGAGAGGCTGAATTTATCCTTTTATAAGGAACACATCCTATCAATAATGTCATTAATCTGCTTCTAAAGGCAGTGCCTTCATGGCCTATTCAGCTCTTGTAGACTCTACCTTCCAGCACTGCTGGATAGGGGATTGAGTTCTAGCACATGAACTTGGGGGACACATTCTAACCAGGGCACTTAACTACCACTACTCTTTGTGGGGGTCTTTTGGGGTTTTTTTGGGGGGGGGATAAGGCCTTAAACTTACTATGTAGTCTAGTCTGGCCTCGAACTCATGGCAATCTTCCTGCCTCAGCCTCCCAAGTACTGGGATTAGAGGCATGTGAACCACCCCTGGCTACCTCCACTCTTAGTACCAGTTCTGCCCTCTCCAGAAAAGTGTGAATTATAAATGATAGTAAGGACCTGGCATGGTGGCACACGCCTGCAATCCCAGCACTCAGAACACACAAGTTCAAGGCATGCCTAGGTGACACAGCCAGTACAAGACTAATCCAGACTACTTAGCAAGACTTGCTCTCAAAGATAAAGCAAACAAACAAATTTTTAAAAAGGAGAAAAATACAGGACGAGAATTTAAAAGAACACAAATTATTGCGAGGGTTTGATGAGCTGAAAAAAACATGGAAAAAGACAAAAGAAGACACTATGATTCATTAAATTAGAAAGACAAAAACCTAAAGAAAGTACAGGTATTAGGAAGAGTAATTATTCTTCACAATTATCTTGAGGCTTGTTTAAAATATGCTAAGGTACTTGGAAGAAATAGATTTTGAACACATAAAGAACCGGATGTTGGGCCAGGGATTTAGCTCAGTGGTTTCGCCACTTGCTGTGCAAGCAAGCGCAAGGACCGGAGTTCGATCCCCGGTACTAAAAAGAAAAGAAACAGATATTACAGGGCAAATAGTGAGCATATGACGGCAATGGAGCATGTAGAGGAAAGCATGCCAGAATCGGGGTCCCCTGCTCTTCTGTGGGTGCCCCCTGAGCTGTGGCTGACTCAGCTCACCCCAGGGAAGGCTTCCCTCTGGTCTCTGTGCCAGGGTAGGGGCCTGGTCCTTGGTTAGTCTTGCTCTGGGAGAATACCTGTCCAAAGGCCTTAAACCCTTAATGCCAATGTGCTCAGCTTCTCCAAATGCCCTTTGTTTGCCTGTTTTATCTAAAATAAAACCTTCCCCCAATTCTCTACTGACTCATTAGAAGATAGGGAACAAAGGATGAATTGTGTATCTGTTTGGACTCTAGGCAAGTTCCCTGATAACTATAAGAAAATTCTGCACTAAGTAGCTGAATCTGGCTGTGAGAGCAGACAGTCAGGAGCAGCTCTGTCCCTAAGCCTACCCAGGGGGTTCCACAATGTTTCACTAACAGAGGGCATTTGATGTGTATAACAGCAGATTTGATTCTCTTCACAGACGGTGCCAATGGCCCAACATGGCCAGCGACTCTCCTGTGTGTGAAGATGATTGACATTATCGTTCCCCAAATGCATGAAAACTTGAGTTTTAGGAATTTTGATCACTTTCGGAATGATTAGTTCAATGTCTCTCTTATCCCCAAGTTCATAGCGGGTCCGTCTGCCTGACAGCATGGACAGTTTCGTGGGAACACCACAGTGCTACACTGTGTTCCTCTCACCTGATGCCCCAACCTTCCCACCTGTAATCTCTTAAGATGCCAGCAGAATTGTCACTGTTCCACTTCTGACTGTTGCATTCCTAGTATTCGCAGTAAATGCTCCATAAATGGGTGAATGAGTGAAAAGGATAGATTAATGACCCAAGAATGAGTGTTCTCTTATTCTCTCAGGACACTGGAAATGTCATGTAATCCCTCTTTTTCCAGATCTGGCTGTATTTCAGGATCACCTTGGGAACTGTTTTAAAAACAGCAATTGGTCCTCATACACAAGCATTCCAAGTAACAGTTTACAAAACTCCAGCAAATGATTGCAATGTGCTGCTGAATTTGAGGAACAAGAAGTTAACCTATCTGGCCTCAGTTTACTCATCTGGAAAACAGCTGATCTTGCTGCCTCACAAGATGTCATGAAGATCAAACGCAGTTAGGAGCAAAGAACTCCAGGACAGAAGGGACTGCGCTTGGGGACAAGGATTGAGGGTGACCGAATAGGCCCACCAGGAAGAACACACTCAGTTTCACAACCCAAACGCTCTGCTGTGACATAGCCATGACTCATCGATTCCAAGATTTAACTAGGATCTGAGTCCTTCCCCAAGGAATCCACTCCTCACTTCATTGTCCACAAATCTCCCACATCTCCCTTCTGCCAACACTGGGAACAAAGCACCTATTTCACATAAAATGTGGAGAGGTTACACTGAAGACCTAGCCTTTTCCAGGAAAGACCATTCGGTCATTCACTCCTGACTTTATTTCTCCACTGGCTTTTCTGTCGCAATTGGTCAGTTCAATCTTGTGCAAAGATGAAACCTTCAGGTTGATAATCTCCAACCCTGCAGCAAGGCAGTTATCACAGAAGCTTACCAGAGCTCTGACTAGGATCCTTCTGCTTGTTTGTCTCTCTGTGCCCATCCCCCGCTCCCTTCTGCAGAGAACTGCCCAGGGCACTGCAAGCTAGAAGTCTGTGCGGGAGCGAGAGTCAATGGCCCTGAGCACTAGAGACTATGAAAGCCTAGAGGATTCACCTTGAGACAGAATAAAATACCATGGACCCTTGACTTACAAACTCAGTTCGCTGGCTGTAACTCAAGTTGGTCAATTGAAGGGTCAGCCTCCTCTACACAGCCCTCAAAGTCTCTCTCCTGTACACTGGCAGATCTCAGTGTCCTTAGAGAGACATTGGCCCAGGATTTCTCAGTGAACCCCACACAGAAAAGGATGTTGTCATATTCCCTCCAGCACTCTTTAAGGGTTAAATTTGTATCTGAGACCATCTGGAAGAACAAGTGGCAGGCATTTGGATGGTAACTCAAGACTTTGGTTATAAGTTAAAACTAAAATTCCGGTCATAACCCAAGTCGTTCATATGTTAGTCCAGTCTAACTCGAGAGTCCACTGTATGTGGAGTCAATGCATCTCACAGTTCCCACGGGACAGTGCTGAGCAGGCAAGATCTCCTGAAACTGTGCCCTTTCTTGGCATCTTCTTCCTCTTCCTTTTCTGCTTTCTGGGTTCTTGTTTCAGAAGTTCCTTGAGAATCACTTGCCTCAAAAATCTTCATCTCAGGGCCTTGCGCATAACTTCATGTCCCTCAAATAGAGGCATTATAATTTCAGAAAAACTTTTCATTTGCATTTGTGTGATTAGTGATTTGGCATGTGTAACTATGTGTCCATAATAGTTAAGTCAGTTAAGATTGCTTCTTTCCTGATCTCAAGTCCTTTGCCCATTTTAAAAAATTCAGATTAGGTCTTTTTTATGTGTAACTTAACATAGAGAAAAGTGAATGTTCTTAAATACATAGCTCAACCAATATTTACATATGTACACACCCATATAACTAACTCCCAGGTGGAGATATAGGACAGTCCCAGCACCCTAAGGCTTCCCATGTCCCCTGCCAGTTAGCAGTGGCCACTGCCAAGTCATGACTTTTTTGTCATTGTGGACCAGCTTAGCGTGTTCCAGACTTCTTACACATGGAGCCATCCTGTGTGTGTTTGGTTGGGTTAAGCTTCTGAAATGAAACATTAGGTTTGGAAAATTCGTCTATGTTATATATTGAGTTCATTCTTTTTCATTTCTCTGTAGTTTTCTATTGTCTGAATACCACGATTTCTTAACCATTCTATTGTTGATGGAAATTTGGGTTGTTTGTAATCTGGAGCTATTACAGATAAAGCAACTAGGAACATCTCTTTACATTTCACCTGGCAGATATGTGCTCCTTTCTGGGTGTATACTCAGGGCTAGAACTGCTGGGCCATAGGTTATGATTGTTTGGCTTTGGTTGGTGCTCTAGCAAATATGTTATAGGCAACATTTCTGCCTAGTTGATTTCTTCCTTTTTAAATTATAATTACCTTTTTCTCAAGTTTTTATGGTGGTATAATTTTCACACACAAAATTCTCCCCTTTTAAATGTAAATTTTAAAAAATTTTGGCTACAATTATAGTTGTGTAACCCCACAATCAAGATAAAGAACACTGCCTTCACCCTAATTATCTTCTATTTTCACATAGAAATGTTTACCTTTTTGATGCAATCATGTATGACTTATCACCCATTATTTTTCTATTTTTTTAAACAAACATTTCTTCCTTATTCTTTTAGGTAAACTGTAGAATTACTCTACAGAATGTCAAGACACACACCATTGCCTTCTTATCTAAAAACAAAGAGGTAATAATAGCCCTCGAGTTGGACAGTCAGTTCAGGAATCCCAGGCACTTGCATTCTGGACGCCATTAGGTAAACCATTATTGTCTCTCAAATCAGTTTTCTCCTCTGTGACACGATTCTAACCACTGTACCTATGTCGGGGATTAGTTTATTAAATGGTGAAAACAACGGATAAATAGTGAGGGTTTGGTATTTGCAGGCTCTGTTCTAAGCGCTTGTTTGTAGGGGGTTATTTAAATCACTCAAGAATCTGGTGAAGTATGAATGTCCCTCGGTGTGCTTTACCGATGCAGAAGCTGAAGCCCAAAGAAGTGCAGTGTACAGCCCACGTCCTGAGTGGGAGAGGAGCCGCGTGCTGCTTCTTCCCTGCCTCGTGGATGAGCAGGCGATCCAGGCAGACCCCAGCACAAGCCCCATCTGAAAAACACAAAGATGCCAACTTTCATTATCTTCATTCATCTTCTTTATTTTCTCAATAATGTTGTAGGATTGCTTCAGTTAGGCCAGGCACATTTCTTGTTAAGGCTACTCATATATATTTTATGCCCTTTTGTACTTCGTGAATGGAGTGTTTCTTTCTTTCCATCATGTTTTCTCACTGGTTATTTGGGGATGTAGTGAAAGCTGAGGCCTCATGTGTTCTGCGAGGCTCAAAGAACCTCAGACGCACTTCAGCACCACCTAGAAGACCCCACCAGACAACAGCTTTCATTATAGATGGTGCTCGCTTAACATCAAATGAAGTTAGTACATTTGTAATGAGAAAAGGATGAAGATTAGAAATAACATTTTGGATTCTTTTACCCTTAGTCAAAGAGGATGGAAAGGGGGAAAGAGCAGAAAGAGATAAAATACTCATCTGAGAGTAGCATGGAAAAGCCATAGTACCACAGTACCTCCTACCTTCCCCACAAAAAAAAATTATTCTCAAACTCCTTCCTCATGTGATATTTTAAAACCACATTTACAGCTTTAATTGAATAAACAATTTTAAAAATATTTTCTGACCAATTGGAGAATTCTGAGGTGAGCAAATACTTCTTTCTATCTAGATGTTCTTATGAGTACTGTTAATCAGGAAAAACATTTTTTAAAAACTTAATTTCTCTTAAATAGACAGACAAATGTTGTATGTGCGGGGGAAGGAACTTGTGGGCAAAATACTAGAAAGTGTTGACTTTTGCACAATGGATGCCTTTAAACATGAGTGTGTTAGCCCTTTCTGAGGGCAACAGGGATAGCACTGCACCACCTGGCCCAGGAGGGAGGGCCAAGGCCAGGTTATGAAAATCCCGAAGGACAATCACATTCAAACCCAGCATGATAAGCCTAATGCAGCACAAGGAAAGTGGTGTTTCCTTATGGGCCCTCAATGCATTAACTAAAGCACAAGAAAACTGATGCATTAATCAGTTTCGTAACTGACAAAAACCTAAGTAAACTCTCTTAAACAAAGAAAGAAAATGTATTTGATCACTGCTGGGAAATTCAAGAGTGCAGCTGGCTTCATACGTAGCTGGATCCATGGGCTCAGTGAGAGGAAAAGAAGACCAATTTTCTCTTGGGGTGAAGGAGCTTGGGGAAACTCTCACACCCTGTCCCCCGTCCCGTCCCCATTCCTCCCTCCTAAGAGTAGTAGGGTGATCTAGGGCTGCAGGTGCCTAGGAGCTCCCAGCCAGCAGAAGCTCAGTTCCCCAAAGCATGATGACTCTCAGGAGAAACTCACCCGACGGGGAATGTGGGCAGGGGCTGGTGTTAGGCATGGCTCCAGTCTCCCAGGGCCTTTCTTGCGTCTGCTCAGAGGCTCTGCCTTGTAGTCTGTCCTCTTCCCTTCTCTGAGCAGTCTGCCTGGAGGCCAAGGTCCAAAGACCCCCGCCATGCCTGTGAGTGGTTATAAATCAGGTGAACCAAGGAGCAGAGGGCAACGCAGTTCTTCCGGGAAACAATCCAAAGCCAGGACCTCAATCAGCTCCTCGGGGATAGAACTACTTTTCCTCCAATTACCTGACTTCTCCATCTCTCTCTCTCCCCGATTTGTCCTGATTTAGATGGAAATAAGTATATATTTGGAATCGCTATATTAGGCCAATTAGGATACATTCTTGCTCTTTCCATTCCTACAACAATGTTCTTTGCCCTCAGCTTTATTCTAAAACAAATTCTTTATATTGACCTTGAAGCTCAATTTGAATGAAAAATAAAAAACGACTCTTTGATGAGTCTTTCAGAAATCATGGGGACTTTTTTCATTGGTCCAGGCAGGTCACATGCTTGTCCTTGGACAGGAGTGGAGCACCCTGGCTGGCTGTACTTATGTGGCTTGACTTTTCCAGATGCGGGTAATGGGCCTGTCTCACCTGAGCCAGGTGGGCTAAGAGTGGGGGAGTGACTACACTCATGGTGAACTGAGCAACCAGTGACTGGCTTGGTCTCAATAGAAATGTTTAACAAATTGTTTTTCTCCATACTAGTGGTTGCCAAACCTTGGTCTGCCTTACAGTCTACTGGAAGTATTCTACACAAGACCAATTAAATCAGAGGCTCTTGCAGGGTACAGACCAAAGACTCAGCACTTTACAGTGAGTCCCAAGGTGTTAATGTAGAGCCAAGGTTAACAAGAATTATTTTGTGCAGAACATTATGGTTTAGTGCAAGGCCAATCAAGAATGATGTTGGCTTTATTCTGTAACTACTGCAACCCTGTTATTCGAAGTAGGAAGCCTGAGAGTAGAGGAGTGTCCTGTGAAGTTGAAGTAGCAGTGACACAGCTCTTGAAACTTTCTGTATTTCTACATAAAAACAGACAAAACAACTAAACAGAACAGCCAAAAGCATGGACAACATTTGGAACCAATCTTGGTGCAAGATATGTCAAAGGAATAAAAGGAAATGATCCCAAACCAGTGTCCATGTAGCGGAGACAAAGGAAAGCAACAAGGTGTCCAAAGGATGTGAGATGAAGCCACCCACAGCCTACAAAGAGAGTTGTGTCTCCACAAACTCATCATAAGTCAGAAATGGATTTTTTACACCTGGCTTACCTAACATCACAGCTCGGCAACCCAGCCCACTGTAGAGTATGGGTTGTCAACCTCGGGGTCACACGGAGGACCAGGACTACTTGGTGTCACCAGACAGTGAGCACCAGACCACTTCCGCCTAATATCAAAACTCAGTTTCCAAGTATGGTTTCTACTGAACTGGTTTGTTTTCATGCCATCACAAGGTGGAAAAATTAAAAGGGTCAAAGACATCATATTACAGTGACACAGCGTACTCACGTTTATAGCAGCACAATTCACGATTGCTCAACTTTAGAAGTAGCACATCCAGTATGTCCATCAGCAGATGAATCTATTGTTGTAACTCTGGTGTGATTAAGCCTTTGCCTCTGGGATGAATCTGTGTTTTCTGGGACCCCAAGCTTTTCCTTGTTCTGGCTCCCCCAGCAAATCACAGCTCTAGGCCTCATTTTCTCCATCAGTAAAACTGGTTTAATACTTAGACTCATGCTATTATGATAATAAAATAAGATAATGAATGTAGATTATTTAGGACCATGCCAGCAAATTGTTGACTAATAATGGGTTGATGATAATAATCATAATTTACTAGTAGCACAGTCTCAGTGTAGGTGGTAATATTCTTGCATGAAGTAAAAAAAGACCACTCGAAACCACTAATCTAAAGTCTTACGTTTCATTCTTGGTAAATTTATTTAATTGTTTATGGGTTTTCCTTAAATAACACTGAGGTTCATACATCACCTACTGTTCATTTAAAAATTGTGTGTAACACACACACAAATGGGTGAGTAATCAGAAAAGGTACCCAATTTTTCCTTTTTATTTACCTTGATTTGCATATTTGTAAGTTTCTGTGTTAAAGCAGAGCAGTGCTCTGTTGGGTGTAGGCTCTGCAAGATTGAAAGGTGACTGGAGGATTGCAGAGAACCCCCATGTTCGTCTCACACCTCAGCACTGCATCCTTCATGCCCACATCCTTGGTAAACAAGCCACCCCAAACTTTAGACTCTGGTGCCAGTGGAGTGTAGCAGCTCCCTGGCACCCGGCATGTAGCTGGGAATGACTGGGTTGGAGTGGCTTCTCCCGGAGTAACTACATCAGCTGCTGGGCTCTGTGTTTGTGCACACAGAGACCCAGGACCTGTTTTGCACGGCACAGTTTTAGTGTCTGTGACCATTCCAGTCATTTTTGCTGCAAGTGCTTGGCTTTGAGAATTATTTACATTGAATTAGGAGTGTTCAACCCCCTCCTACCAAGAAAAGTCAAGCAGCTTATTTGTTTCCCACTAGTGGGCTTCTGAGAGAATAGCTTAGGCAGCTCTCTGAGCCACCAGAGTCTATTCAAGCCACTGGCAGAAGAGCAAAGCCTTGTACTCAGTCGCCAGCTTGGCTTCTCCAGGGCTTCTCGTGCGGACCCTGAAATGAAGTGCTCTCCGTAGCAAGCAGACTACTGCCTGCTGCTCTTTCCCTCCTTTTCTCTGGATGACTTTCTAGAGGTTCTATTTGCATGCATCTCTGTGGGTATATTATACTCATTCGTTGAGTTTAGTGAGTTTGTTCTCTGTGTGACTTTTCAGATAAGTGTACCCTTTTAATCATTTAACCTTTTCCTTGTTTACAAAGTAGTGTTATTAAACATTTTTCAGCCTCATCCCCCTCCTAAAACAGAAAGAAAGCAAACTTCCTTTGACGACACGTGGCCGTCGTGATGGCTCAGTCACTGGCCTGTATCCAGCACACACTGGGGCGGCAGAAGGGGAGCACCTGTTTGTCTGGACACTCGATGGCCCTCCAGTGCCACATCTTGTGTGCTGGTTTCCACCTGTGTCTCTTCCCTCCCTGACCAGCTGCCCTCACTTCATCTACCTCTCACTTGCTAGTTCTAATCTGCCCTGAACTGGGAGATCAGATAAGCCTGCTTCCTAGAACTGAGAAATTGGACAAGCTTGTGTACTGGAACTCAGTGTCTAACATAATGTTTCATGAGCGAAGTGAGTAAACTCCAGGGCACACTTGGCTATGAGTTCGAAGGCTTTGGGATACAAACAACTGGAACCTTGCCTCACTCAGGCCAATAAAGACCTGTGTGTCTTCCAGTGATGTCTGGGCATGGTACTTTCAGCTTTGTTCTAGTCCTGGGTATTTTCATCAGCTCCATCATCTCCCACGTTGGCTTTATTCTCCAGCTGGTGGCCATATGGCTCCCATGGTTCTGGACACACTTCCAAGGATGGACAGTCAGCATCAACTTCCTTGTCTCACCCTGGGGAGCAGGAAGCATTTTCTAGATGCGCCCCAACTGGCTTCCCCCACAGGCCCACAATTACCCTTTCCCTCCCAGCCCCCAGTAGAGGTATAAGCTTCCCATAATTGGCTTGGATTAATTAGCATCCATCCTAGACCAAATTGGAATACTCATAGGAAAATGAAGGGGAAGGTAGGTACTGGGGAGGAAGCAACAATGTGTGCTGGAGGTTGGAATTGTCTGCTTTTGATTTTTAAAAATAATTTTTCTAGGGCCGGGGATTTAGCTCAGTGGTTCCAGCGCCTGCCTCGCAAGCGGAAGGACCCAAGTTCGATTCCCAGTACCAAAAAAAAATAAAAAATTATTTTTCTAAAATTGAATCTGTGCCTATAAGTAGTTCACATTTGGAACAGGTCCCCTTTAGAAAATGAAGTATTGTTTTAAGATGGAATCAACTGATAACTAGGCACAGTTAGTGACAACAACTTTGGCATAAATATATAGGAGGAAATGGAGACAAAGTTTGGTACTGTTTCTGTGTCAGTACTGGATTTTAACACTTGAATGATTCGAGGCTACACAGTTCACTACAAGGAAATGTTTGGAGCGAGCATCCGTGAGAGGGGAGAGTGGTGGAGCTGACTGCGGCTTTTCATTAGCCAGGCACCCTGCAAATGGCTATGATCGAGTGTATCAAGGGACAAATACAATGTGAGATAAAAGAATATGGTGAATATTTAAATTGTATTAAATTGTATTAAAAATTGTATTACCATAAAAAGCACATTGATATTAATCCCCCTCAAAATATCCCTCCCTTCCAACACTCTTACCCCATCCTTGGCACCTTCTGGAAGTCTCTTTTGTGAGTGTCTTTAGCTGTAGATAGCTGCCTCCATGATCTGAATCAACTTAAAACATTTGTCTTTCATTGTCACTTTGACTTTGAGGAAGAGCCAGAAGTCATGTAGAGCCAGATCTAGTGAATTCAGTGGCTGAAAACACTGCAGTGTGTGTTTCTATGAGGCTGCATTTCCATTGGATAGCACTCAGCAGCAGCATTCGCTGTATTTTTTTATCAAATTTTTTAGATACTCATGAAAGAAGACTTCCAGAACTGTTTCAGAAAGTGGCAAGAAGGCTGGGATATGTGTGTTAAAATAAGGGGAGTATTTTGAGGAAGGGTTTATAGTTCATTTTTTTACAATCATAAATTTAAAAAAATCTAAACATTCACCATGTATTTTGATTACCCTTGTTATTTCTACTTAGAGCCCACTAGGAAGGAGTTTCGCAGTGTCTCCAGATTTATGTGAGATTATAAAATCCTAGGGAGAATATAATGTTCTTGGAGTAGAATTGGAAAGTCTCAATTATAGTCACAGCAGGAGTCCCACCCTCCCCAGGCTTATTACACATAACTGCACTAACTGATCACATGAAGTAATTAAAGGGGGGAAGGGTTGATTCTTGTTCCACTTTCCATTTGACTGTTTCTACCACAGCCACATGCTATGTAGTAGAGCATAGTGCAGATTGTAAAGAACTTTTGCACATTCCCGACAGATTCAGGGACCGCTCACACTCTGTGGTGAACAGATTCCAAAGGCAGAGCAGCCAAGGGACCTGGGGACCCCAGCTGAAGAAAGCGTCCTGTTTGCTTCACATTTTAGGACCTGGTGAATCAACAGCACATCAAGGCCTGATGGAAAATGCTAAGGTGTTTCCAGGTTCACAAACTACAGCAGATGGTTTGCCTGAAATCAATTTGGCCAAGTGGAATTTCAACAAATAATTCACCAAATCTAAAATATTTATAGTTTAGTTTAAAAATTATTTTTCAAGTAATTTGATCAGTGGAGCAATTAGTACAAATAATATACATAATGAGTAAGCATAATCATTGAGTTTTTTAGTGTTAGTGACTTTGGTATATATATATGGAGGTAGCCTTAGAGCTCTCTGTGTATCTTAAGTATTTTTGTTTAATTGTAATAATTGTTTCTTTTGGGGCTTTTTTTTGTGCTGAGGATAGAACCCGGGGTCTCACACGGGTAAGGCAAGCACACTACCTCTTTTTGTTTTGCCAATTACATATGCTTTTTGCTTCTTACAATCCTGAAAAATTAGGAAAAAGAATTGTGTAATGACAACATATATTTGAAATAACCTAAATAAACAACAAAAGCAAGTTGGTTAAAACAGCCTAAATATTCATTAACAAGGGAAGCTATTAGAATAGAATTTTCTTATATTTTCTTCCAAGCTTTATTTTCTTCTTTAATTTTCTGTTAATATTTTTTTTTTGGTACCGGGGATCGAACTCGGGACCTTACACTTGCGAAGCAGGCGCCGGAACTACTGAGCTAAATCCCCGGCCCTGTTAATTTTTGCTTGGTATAAAAGTAATGTTTTGCAATATAAAAATAGAAAATACATATGCAAAAATGGAGGTAAGTCATCTATCCAGTTGAAAGCTTTAAACCTTGAATTATTTCCCACCGGGTCTTTTTAATGTATACACACACACACACACACACACACACGTATAAATGCACACACATACGCATCTGTCACCCTTGCAAAATAGGATCACGCCATAATAATGCTTCACTACCTGCAACATAAACTATGTGCTAGGATTTAACTACTAGACCTATGGATAATTTCAACAAATATCTTATCAGTCCAACACAAATTAAGGGGGGTGGGAGGAAGAAAGGACAAGAGAGAAAGAGAAGGCGGGGGAGAAATGGAAACAAAGTTTTTGTAAATAAGGAGGGGAAGAGAGATTGAACAGAGAGGAGGGGAATGGGGAAAAAAGCAGCAGAACAAGTTAAGAGTTATCATAGCTATAAAATGAGATGTGGACAAAATGCTTACAGCACATAAGAAGACTGTATCTCAACCCCATGATTAATCCCAATAATTTAAAACTGCAGTCAATTTCTATTAAGGGATGCTAACAGGATTGTCTTATCGGTCAGTTTTCTCTGAGCTACCTTTTCAAGGTCCTGTCTCCTTGCTGCCAAGTCACTGTTGAGTGAATCACTGGAAGATTCCGGGTCATCTTCCCCATGCCACCTGGACTGAAATGTCTCTCTGTCATTTCCAACCCGTTTGTCCCAAGGCACACAACGTCTGGGTGTTCCAATTAGTGACACACAGTAGGCCCTGTTCCCAAAATGAATTTCAGGTGATTCTCCCAAACATATTCCACAGAGCCAAGTGATAAGTCAGGGAGGCAGGGGGAAGAGTAATCAGGAACGTAGTGCTCTGTACTTGCAACTTTTTAGAGTCTAAAATTAGTTCAAAATAAAATGTTCAACAAACATATCCTAAAATATGAACAGGGTTGGAAAGAAATCTTCCCCCAAGTTAAGAGAAGTTAAAGTATACACAGAGAAAGAGGGAAGGAGGGAGAGAGGGAGGGAGACAGACAGGAAAAAGAAAGAGAGAGAGAGAGAAATATGAGAATTAACACAGCAGGGTGCTCTCTAGAGGTTTACAATTACTACAGCTGAGTTATGCCAAAGTAAAAATGTGATTGTTATAAGAACCACATTACCATCTGTGAAAAAAGAAATATCCATTAAAGAGAAACAAAAGGTTTCTCGCAGTTAGATCTAAGGCAAATTTTTCTGCAATTTTCTCAACATGAAGAGACAGTGATGGGTGTTTAAATACTCAACAACACATTAACTCTAAGTCAAACAATATCCTACAGAAGCGTCCTTGATGTAGGGCCCTGGACTGACGGGCAGGGAAGGCAAAGCACTGATTTTAGTAGGCACCTGAAATCGTAAACTCATGCTTTAGACAATTTTCTCTTTATACTAAAAAAAAAAGCCTAATTGAGAGGGGGAGTAAAGAATGTTTTAGAAAATAACATATCCGCTTTGATGGCTTTAATCTATTTAACACCGGGGAAGATAAGTCAAGGTGATAGGCCAAGATTTCACAGCTATTAGCAGCCCTGAGATATGGACATAGGTGTATGGCCAACACCTCCAATTGCCTTCTTTATTTTAGCTGGTAAAAAGGGGGAGCAGAAGCCCAGGCTTCCCACATAAGGTCAGAAAGTAGCAGAAGTTGCATGGTGTGTTTGTCTCCTCTTCCTATCTTCCTCCTCCTCCAGTCCTTCTTGCACCCAGGCTGAAAGAAGAGGTGGAAATTGTCTGCTTCCACCCCTGAGGTACAACCACATCTCAAAGAAGGACACTTAGGATGAACACTCCTAGAGCCCAGGACTAGAGGCAACCCCAGAGGGGCGGAAGCCAGTGTGGCCCAGGTGGGCTTACCTGAGCGCCAGCTGGGACAGAGAAGAAGAGCCATGACCCTCTTTCCCGGACCCAGTTCTCTTCTCTGGCCTTCTTGTGGTGGAGACAGGAGTGGGAGCCTGTTTCCACATTAGGCTCACAGCGCTCTCCTGCCCTTTCCCCCAAGAAATCTGCTCTTCCTTGGCATCATTATCCTCTCCTGTGAAGGAGCTTTGAAACCAGCCCTTAATGAGGCTGCTGCAGGGAAATGCTGGTGCATGGGGATTGGAAGTGGTAGGGTATTACATAAGGGTCCAAGTCCTTGCAGCAGTACTAGGACAAGCCAGCCACCCTGGTCACAGGTCATCTGGCACAGCTACCTGCCTCTGTCTTCCCCTCTTTCTCTTATCTTCACTGTGCTCAAGATGCTGGGCATGCGGGACCTCTTCTTACTGTCATTTCTTCTCCAGCCCCTGCCTCCGCCCATTCTTAGGTCTCTTCCTCTCACGACCATCCGGCCACTCCAAGCCTGGCAGAAGAGCCTTCCCATCCTGGCCTGGTCATTGGCTGTTATGGTTTATACAGAGCCCCCTCAAAGCCTCAAGCACTCACAGGTGGGGCTTTAGGGAGGTGATCGGATCATGTGGGTGAGGACTCATCACTGAATTTGTCCACTGATGAATTTATAGCTAAATGTGATTTGGAAGGTGAAGCCTGGCTGGAGGAGGTGGCTCACTGAGGGTGTGGCCTCCTTCGATCTCTCTGCTTCCTGACACCACATCATGGCCTCTCTTTCCTCTGCAATGTCCCTTTGCCATGCCATTCTGCCATGGACACAGCTATGAACTGAAACCTCTACAAACTGTGAGCCAAAATAAACCTCATCTTCCTTAAATTGTGAGTGTCAGTTATAACGTCTCAGGGGCCAGAAAGTGACAAAGATAGATGTTGGTACCAGAGAAGTGGAGTGGCTGCTGTGATGCTACCTGACCTTGCGATTCAGAGGCCTTTGGAATTGGCTTGGGAGGAGTTAGGAAAGGTTTGGAGATGCTGGCTGGAGAAGTGGCACTAGAATGCTGTGGGCAGAGCTTGATGGGAGATTCTGGTTGGAGCTCAGAAGACCAGAATGTTAACAGTAATGCAGTTGGTAAAGATCAGGTTCAGAAAGTTTCAGTTGGGAGAAGGACTGCATTGGCATTTGGCCTTCAGGATTCCCCAGGATTCAGTTCATCATGCTCAGCAAATCAGGCACTCAGAGGCCTCTGCAACCATTGGCAAGATGCAAAAGCTACTGCTCCCACTGGTGACAGACTTTGACGTCATCCACGTGGTGCTGGTTTTAGGTACATGCAGAATGGAAGCGTTGTGGGGTCGGGAAGGCTTCCATCCAGATTTCAGAAGAAGACCTGGGAGGCCGGGCAGTGTGCTCCTAAGAGTGCACTGTGTGAATGAAGCCCAAGGTGCTGTGGAGGTCTCAGGATATTGGAGAGGCCAGGAACCTACAATGTCTGGGGAAAGCTGTAAGGAGTGAGCAAAACCAGCCTGAGAAAGAAGCCATGAGGGCTGGCAAGCAGTGCTGTAGGGTCAGGGCTGCCAAGCCCTTTGGCATTCACATCTCACCACAGAATGCCCTGGGTGCCTGCTGACATATCCAGAACCGTGCTAAACCAATCACGTAGGCCTTTTTATTCAAGTTAACACCACACCTGTCACACCAGTCTTCATTCAGCCTGCAGTTCTCTGAAAAGCGGCTGGGAAATGCATATATTTATTTTGGCATGACATACTCTAATGATTGCCCCACCACCCTCTTGCCCCAGGCTCCCCCTGTTGGGGTTTGGACCTGCCATGTCTCCCAAAGCCTCCTGTGCTTAGAGGCAGGTCTGTGGGAGGTGGTTGGATTACAGGGTGCTGCAGCTGAGTTAGGAGCTGGGTCGTGGTTGGAGGTGAGTCACTGGGGTGTGACTCTGAAGGGTGCATCTCTCTCTCCAGCTCCTCCCGTCCCTCTCTGTTTCCTGACGTGAGCAGCATTCCCATGCCCACACCCTTCCCCCACGCCATTTCTGCATTCGAGGCTGCCAGCCGTGCATGGGCTGAAATCTCTGAAACCACAAGCCAAAATAAACCGCTCCTCCTTAAAGTCGTGGGTGTTGGGTATTTTGCCTCAGCAGAGAGGAAAGTGACTAAGACAACCCCTTGGTTTCACATTTGGGGGACTCAGTGTGTGTAAGGTATTTGAAGGGAAGGGTGAAGGGGAGGGGAGGGGGCGTCAACGCAGGTGATAGGGCATTGAGTAAAATTTCACTCTTTTAGAAAGCACATGTCCTTCCACTGTGGTGAGCCCATGCAGAGTCCCAGGTCCCAGCCACTCTTGGCAGCCTTCTAACACCAGCAGAGGGGTAAGAATCTCACCAGCCTGGGGGCCTTCTGCTTTTGTGTCACAGACCCCCTTACCTCCCCTAGTCCACACAGCACCATGGTTTGTCATATGTGAGGATAGAGTTGCTTATGGCTTAATCCACTCACTCAGCAATGCCTGAGTGAACATCCACTGGGTCCCAGGCATCGCCAGGCACTCGTAATAGAAAGGTGGATATCAATCACCAGGAAAATGTGAATTAAAACGACATGGTATCACCTCACACCTGGTAAGATGGCTGATATTTTAAAAATCAGTCTGGAGATTCCTTATAAAACTAAAACTAGAAATTCCATTTGACCCAGCTATTTTCCATAGGCATCTTCCTGAAAGAATTAAAGGCATCACATTACAGTATAAGTGCACACCCATATTCATAGTGGCACATAATCACTAAATCTTGGAAGTGGCCTATATATCCATCAATAGATGAATGGATAAAGAAAATGTACAAAATAGACCACTACTCTACCATAGAGAAGGGTGAACTTGAGTCATTTGTAGGAAAATGGATGCACCTTTAGACCGTAATGTTAAGAGAAATAAATCAGACACACAAGTTTAAATATCACATGGTTTCTCTTCTATGAGAAGCCTAAATTATAAATAAAGAGTAAAATAAAAGACAATAGAAAACAGGGTGATAGATCTTTCTCAAATGGGAAGTAAATCAAGAGGTGGAGGGAAGAAGAGGGAGGAGAGGGAAAAGGGATGAAAAAAGGAATGAAGAGGTATTATGTGCATATACCAACTCCACACAAGGAAAGTAACCATTATGTACTGCAGACATGCCTTCATAAAAATGAATTAATTAACTAATTAATTAATGAAAAAGTGTCGGCAAGACTATGGAGAAATTGGAACCCTTGTACATTATTAATAGGAAGTTCTGATGGTATGGCTGCTATGGTAAACAGTATGGAGGCTTTCAAAAAATTAAAAATAAAATTACCATAATGGTAATAGGCTTACCAGCATTCTCACTTCTGCATGTGGAGTCAAAGCAACTGAAATCAGGATCCAAAAGAGGTATATGTGCACTCCCATGTTCACTGCAGCATTACTCAATAGTCAAGATACAGAGATGACATAAACACCCACCAGTGGATGAGTGGATAAAGAAACCATGGTTGATATGTACAATGAAATATTGTTCCACATTAAAAAGAGGGAAATTTTAACCATTTGGGACAAGATGGATGGACCTGAAAGACGTTGTGCTAAGTGAAAGAAGCCAGTGACAAAAGGATAAATACTGCATGATTCCATTATATGAAGTTCCTAAGACAGTCGAATTCAGAAACAGAAAGCAGAACGGTGGTTGCCAAGGGCTGGGGGAGGGGAATAGGGTGCTACTGTTCAATGGAGTGAAGTTTCAGTTGTGGGAGAACAAGCCTAGGGACCTAGTATACAACATCGTGCCTGGTAGCTAACAATACTGTATCACGCTCTTAAATATCGTCAGGAGGGTCAACCTCATGCTACATGTTCTTAACACAATAAAAAAAAAAAATGACATTAGAAAGGAAAAGTGGATACAGCTTTTTAAACCCTCAGTTGTACCCAGAAGAGTCCAAGGGTATGAAAAGTAGTTGGGGTGACATGGCAAAAGAATTAGACCCCTGGGTGGAACGGCCTCTGGAGGTCCTGCTGGGAGCAAATTAAGCCTCACCCATGGGTTCCCATCCTTTGGGGAGGTCTGAAAAGTGTCTTTTGGAGAGAAATGATCTCATCCTTTAAGGTGAGATGGGATCCAGCTGATCCAAGGGTCAGGATCCTGTAGCTCTTTCCATGCCATGCAGCTTCTGAAATGTGTATGAGGACCAGGACACAACCCCCCTCAGAGACTCCTACCCCACAGCCAACAGCAGGACAAGACGGCGGGAGGCCCGGGCACAGCTACACCGAGACCCATGGCTCCCCGCAGGCCGTGTGCCCAGCCTGGCCGTGGTTGAAGAAGCCTGGGGTTTGCCTCCTTCTCATCTGTCAGCACAGTTGCCCCATCTCCTCGTCCACCCCTAATAATAATTTTTTAAAAGGATGGGGCTGGCTGACATGGAGCCCCTTCAGGATTTGTAATCAGACAAAAAGCACTGCTGCCAAGGAGAATTAACCAAGGCCTCGATCTGTTGTGTTGTTTTTAACAACCTTGGTGGATATATAAATAACATAACCTTAAATTCACCCATTTGAGTAATTTTTAAAGTAAATTTACAGTTGTTTAAAATTCGCCAATTTTCCATCACCCTAAGAAGATCCCTTGTAGTGGGGTGTGGTGGCGCATGCCTGTAATCCCAGCACTCAGGAGGCTGAGGCAGGAGGATCACTGCAAGTTTGAGGCCAGCCTGGGTGACATAGCGAGGCCTTATCTGAAAAAAACAAAACAGAAGAGCCCTTGGGTCCATTTCTGGTCAATCTCTATTCCTACCTCAGCCCCAGCAGTCACGGTTGTGCTTTCTCTCTTGCAGATTTGCCTTTCATGGATGTTTCAGATACGTAGAATCATACAACACGTAGTTCTTTCATGTGTCTGGCTTCCTCCCATGAGCATAATGTTATCGAGGTTGGTGCTTTACTCTTTAGTTGCTGTAGACTATTCCAATGAATGGATGTAACACATTTTGTTTTTCAATACCAACTGAGAGACTCATGGACTGTCCTTTAGGGGGAATTATGAATAAAACTGCAGTAAAGATTCCTTTACCTGTGTTTGTAGGAACCTATGTTTGCATTTCTCTTGAGAAGATGTCTAGGAGTAGAACTGCTGGGTCATAAACCAAGTTTAGGTCTCACTTTTTAGAAACTGTCAAGTACTTTCCAAATCGGGAGTGCCATTTCACATTCCCACCAGCAATTGACAAGGA